CCTCCTCCCCCTCCTCCCTCCTCCCTCCTCCCTCCTCCTCCTCCTCCTCCTCCTCCTCCTCCTCCTCCTCCTTCCTTCTCATCCTCCTCCTCTCCTCCTCCTCCTCCTCCTTCCTCCTCCCTCCTCCTCCTCCTCCTCCTCCTCTCCCCCTCCCCTCCTCCTCCCCTCCTCCTCCTCCTCCTCCTCCTCCTCCTCCTCCTCCTCCTCCTCCTCCTCCTCCTCCTCCTCCTCCTCCTCCTCCTCCTCGGGGGCCCCCCAGGTCGTCCCCAAGCGGCGCGAAAGTGCATCGTGCTTCGCGCGCCGCAGCCTGGGCCGCACAGAGCTGACCTGCTCGAGAGGCGGCGGCGCGAGGGCGCGAAGGTAACGAAGTGCAGCATGCCGAGAGCGCCCGCGCGAAGTCGGGTGGCCTGCAGTGGAAACCCATGCCAAGAAACACCCCGCTCGCCTCCAGAGTGCCCTGGGCTTCTTGGGCCTCGATGGTTTCGCGATGGACGGCGCGGCGTGCCCACACCAAGAGGCAGGGGACGACCCCCTGGGGTTCCAGGGTGGGGCTTCTCGTGGAAGGTCTCTTGTGGGCGGGCTCCTACTGTAAAGTTCACCGCCCACCAACTACCCCAGCCCAACCCGAAGGCCCCGATTTGCCCGTGGAGGTAGGGGAACATTTTAAAAGCATATCTAATGCCCGTATCCCCCCCAACCCGAAATTCGGGTGAAATTCTGGTCTTCAGGTTGGGTTGGGGTGGTCCAGTAGGTAGTCAAGAATCCTCGACACTCGGGGGCCCCCAAACGGGGTGGTGACCACACCGTGCGGTGAGTCGGTGGGGATTCGGGGTCACCGCACAGTTTTGGGATTCGGGTCCTCTCCGAGGATGTCTCGGACGACAGGGGCCTCCAGGGTCCCAAAACCGTGCGGTGACGGACCGTGCAGTGAGAGCTTGGGGGGTTTCGAGGTCACCGCTCGGTCTGTCACCGCACCGCTTCGGGGCTCCAAAGACACCTCCCTCGGTCACTCTAGGCCGATCCTGGTGGCCCGATGGTCGTCCGGCCGGTCGGCGCTCGCGGCGCCGAGCGCCCGCGCGCGCGGGCCCGCGCAGGGCGACTCCAGGGCCGTGCTGTGCCAGCAGGCGCGCCCGCACCCGCAGGGCGGCGGCGCCCCACCTCGCCGTCGTCGTCGTCGTCGTCGTCGTCGCCGTCGCCGTCGCCGTCGCCGTCGCCGTCGTCGCCGCCGGCGCCGAAGAGCGACACGCAGGCGATGACGAGGAGCCGATGCCGTTACCATTAGGCCCTCGTCGCCACGGCTTCGATTAGCCTCGACATGCCGATCAGAGCGCAATCCCTGGAGAGGTCCAGGGAGCACAGTCAACCTGCATAGGAAGTATGGGCAACCTTCTAAAGGGTACCCTTGCATCCTCGCCTCCTCGGTCCATCCTTGGCCGCTTTCGTTGGTAGCGCCCCGCTCGAAAAGCTTCGAAATGGGCGTCCCAGGCTCTGGCAGTCTTCTCGCGCATCCTTATGATACGGACCGACTGCAGCGGTGTCGGTGCGTTTAGGTCTCCCCAGATAGCACCACCTCCAGGGGAGGGCCTCTGCGTCCCTGGCGGCTTCTCCTCGCTCCCTGTTGCCCCCGCGTCTTCCTCGCACGTCGCCCGTGCTCCCTCCCTCCCTCCCCCAGCATCTCCGTGCAGTGCTGGCCCAGCTCACCACCTGCCAGGTTGGAATTGCACGATGTAAGTGGAGTCGATAGCAAATCATGAGAGCCTTGTCTACCCTCGTAATGCTGTCGACTCGCGTCGATTTAGCGTCTGGGAGTCGATGAGATAGCGCCGATGTAGCGTCGGTTAGCGTCGATTCAGCGCCCATTAGCGTTGATTTAGCACCCGTCAGCATCGATTCTCAAGAGCCGACAGGATAGTATGGGAGGCTCCCATGAGTTGCCACCGAATTTGAAGATCGGGGAACAAGCAGCGACATAAACATAACCACGCAGAGGTCCGCGCGGAATTCTTGCATCGGCGCTGGAGGCGCCGCCATTGCTCTCGGGTGCCGATCCAAGAACTCCGCGCAGACCTCCGATGTTTGTTTCAATGTCACTGCCTGTTCCCCTGAAGAGCTCCCGACCCGCTTGGCACACCCTACAACTCCTTGGATTATAAAGTGGATTTTGGGGACTCTATAATGACGCCCCATTCGGCTTTCATCATATTCAAAGGCGAGCATGGAGGTACCAAAAACATCGTGCATTGGCATCGACTTGACCATTGTCCCGGTCCGGTTGCCTGACGAAAGTCAATCAACATTTCTTTTGCCTCCGCGGCCTCCTCTTTATGATCCAGGAGGATCTTCACAGAAGGCACCCCGCGACGTACTGTTTGCGAACATTCACCGACAGCACGCCGCGGTCCGTTTTTTGCTTGCAAGCGTTTGCCGCCAGCAGGCAGCTGCGTGCTGGCGGTGAACGACGTCCTAGATACAAGTGGAGAACTCTCAGGAAGCGTCGATGAACTCCAGTCAGGCAGCGGGCCCCAGGACGATGGTGGATTCGATGCCGATGCAGGAGTTCTCGTCGGGTGTTGCTGGAAGAGCCCCTGGCCCAAGGTGCCCCCAGAATTTCCAAGGAGGCCCCCGCGGCCTCCAGCGCACCCCTGACGACGGCAAGAGAGCCCCAGGGGCTCCAAATTTGAGCGAAAAGCCAGTGGCACCTTGGGCCAGTGGCACCTTTAGCAACCCCCGATCTCGGTGCCTCCACCCTCGCCTTCTTTGATTATTCTAAAGGCCAAGAGGGGCGTCGACTGGAAACCGGGATTCCGCCTGCGGGGTCCTCAGACAAAAGCTCCCGGCCGCCTTCCAGGGCGACGGGAAGGAAGTTCTGCCATGCCACCCAGAAGTGTCGATTTCTCACGGGATCCTCGTTCTGGACGTTGCTCATTCCGCCGGAAAGTTGCGATTCTGCTAAGTGTGATTCGGGACGTGGTGATGTCGCTCGGGATCTTCGCTAGGAGAACCTTCCAGTCGTTGCGCATGTCGCCAGAAGGTTGCGATCCTGTTGGAGGGTTCTTGACGATCGAACTTTTCTGGTCGTTCCTGAGTCCCCTCAGGAGGGAAAGAAACACACAGACACAATGAATCGTCGATTCCCTTGAAAATTTTGGAAAATATGAGAAGTGGGGGGGGAAGACAAAAACCCAGAAAAGATTTGAAAATATGGGGAATCTTTTTTATTCTAGTGTATTTATTTGTGCGTCCCAGGGCCCCTTCGTCCCCACTGTCCACTTTTTGATCCAGGGTGTTTGTAGGGTGTGCGAGGCGGGTCGGAAGCTCTTCGGGGGAATAGGCAATGACATTCAAACAAACATCGAAGGCCTGCGCGGAGTCCTTGGATCGGCACCCGGGAGCAATGGCGGCGCCTCCAGCGGTGATGCAAGACATCCGCGTGGACCTCTGCGCTGTCGTGTTTATGTCGTTGCTCGTTCCCGGATCTTCAGTTTCGGTGGCAACTCATGGGAGCCTCCCATACCACCTTGCCGGCTCTTGAGAGTCGATGCCAAGCGACGCTAGATCGACGCTAATCGGCGCTAAGTCAGCGCTGACCGACGTTAACCGACGCTACATGACTTCCAGACGCGAATCGACGCGGACCCACGCGAATCCAAGAAACCCACGCGGGCCTCTGACGATCGAAGCTTCCTTGTATCTCTTGAGCCGCCAAGTTCCACTCTGGAGTCCAGGGCCTTCTCGCCTCGCGGTGGCCAGACGGGGGCGGCCTGGGCAGTCCTTTGCATGACCCCATCCTCCCCCGAGCACGCAAGGCTACGTTGGCATGCCCCTCTACAGCAGGAGTATCCCAACATAGTCGAAAGATAGTCGGGGGACGATTTTTCCAGTTTTTGATTGCTTCCGAATATTTGTTCGCAGTGAAAAAATTAGCCTGGCCAAGGACCCAACCATACGCAGTTGTGAATACCGTCGTTGTTAGTATATCCTTCGGTGGATTTCCTCATGGGACTACAAAGCGCGTGAAGACTGCCGAAATGCGGCAGGGCGGAGCTCCCTATGGAGCCACGAAGCGTGTGGGGGGGTGTATCAAAATAGGGCGGCGCCACCATGCGGACTGCGCCACTGGGACCTTCGGTGGAGCCCCCTTATGGGCCACGAAACGTGTGAGGGGCGTGCCAAAATGTTGCGGCGCCATGTGGACTGCGCCACTGGGACCTTAGGTGGAGCTCCCTATGGGGCCACGAAACGTGTGAGGGGTGTGCCAAAATGGTGCGGCGCCGCCATGTGGACTGCGCCACTGGGACCTTAGGTGGAGCTTCCTATGGGGCTGGGGCCACGAAACGTGTGAGGGGTGTGTCAAAATTGGGCGGCGCCGCCATGCGGACTGCGCCACTGGGACCTTCGGTTGAGCTCCCCACCGGGCCACGAAGCGTATGGGGGGGTGTATCAAGATAGAGCGGCGCCGCCACTGGGACCTTCGGTGGAGCTCCCTATGGGCCATGAAACGTATGAGGGGTGTACCGAAATGGTGCGGCGCCGCCATGCGGACTGCGCCACTGGGGCGTTAGGTGGAGCTCCCTACGGAGTCACGAAACGCTTGAGGGGTGTGTGCCAAAGTGAGGGGGTGACGAGAGGAGGGAGGAGGGGGAGGAGAAGGAGAGGAGAGGAGGAGAGGAACGCGGGGACCGTCTCTTCAAAACGAGGACCCAACACCACAGGATTGTAGGTCAGACTTCTTCCAAAATCCGCCTGTAGGAGGACATGCCCGACCCAAACGCAAGGCAGTCAGGAGGGGGCGAATGAAGAGAAGGGTCCCCGGACATCCGACGCGCTGGTTCTCGGCATCTCGGGGCCCGTTATTGACCCAGGGGCCGCCATTAATTCCTTGCCGGGTGGACTCCTGACTTTGGGAGGGAGTCAGGACCTCAGGGGGGCGTCACGAGGGGAGGGAGATGAGGTGAAGTGGGATGAGTGCGATTCGAGCATGACGACGGGGCTTGTAGTGGCGATGTTGCGCCATGCCGCGACGGTGTTGATGATGATTGCAGCTGTCTGGCGTTTCCTCTGAGCCCTACGTCCACAGGCAGAAATCCGCCAGCCATTGCCATCGCGCTGCCAAGCTGTCCCTTCCTTTGCTCTTCCAAGGGGGCGGGCCGACACTCCGACCTGGCCGCCGACGGGCTTCCGCTGTACAGGAGCCCAATTGAATACGCCAACCCTGATGCACGGTGCGCTCAAGAAAGGCACCCGCAAACCCAGCATTGATTCTCGCGGTCCACTCTCCATTCGTCTGGCGCCTCGCCTTCTGCTGGATGCGAGGCCAAGGCAGTGCCACTCTCGTTCGACCACAAGCCGACCGACGAGGCCAGGGCGGTTTTCTTCTGCTGCGCACTTCTGCGCCTCATGCTGACTCGTTCCCTTCTCCACCACTGCCTCGCAGCGCACTGCCGCGCGCCCCCCGGGGACCCAGGTGCTATCATCATCTTCGCCCTCTTCCTCTTCCTCCTGCCAGGCATGCGATGTCTCAATTTTTCGATGCACGGATCCCCCAAAGTCCCGGCTCCTTCCCCAGGGTTTCTCTCTCATCTCGAGTCGTTCTTCCTTCCGGGAGGCACAGTAATCGCCCCCCCCCTTGACTTCGAGGAGGAGGGGGGGTCGCGTGCCGTCGGTGGGGGGATTGGGAGGGGGGGCAGTTTGAAGCTCGAGTTCCTGAGCCAGGTGGTGGGGGGAGAATGTTCCAGGTGCTCCTGGTGGTCCAAGGCTCGGTCTCTCGCCTCTGAGCGGCGCTGCGTTGGTCCTTTGCTGCTCCCTCCCTTCGTCGTCCTCGCCCGTGTCGGCCTCGCCTCTTCCCGCGCTTGCCAGCTGTAGTTTAGGCTCTTGCCCTGTGCTGCGTAGGCCTGGTTGTCGTTCGACTTTCGGACGCCGCGCGGCTGCCCGTTAGCGGTCGGTAAACAAAAAAGTAACCCCACCAACACATCCAGAAACGACGCCCAGAGGAATTGCCAGCCTCTTGGAGACCTCTTGGGCGCCTGTTGGGGCCGCCTGGGGCCTCCTGGGCGCCTCTTGGGGCCCTCTTGAAGCGCTCTTGGTGGAAGCCTTGGGAACGCTCTTGGGGCCACATTGGAGGACATCGATCAAACAAGAGGGGAGCATCAATTAGCGCTGCCTTTCTGGAGCCTCAAAAGTCGCTTCTTGGGGCGCTCTTCGAGCGCTCTTGGGCTTTCTTTGGGTCGCGTTGGGGCTCTATTGAGCCTCTTTCAGAGCCATTTTGGAGACATCTTGAAGCTTCGGATGGCCATCGGAAGCGAAAAGGCGAGATGGCAAAATTATCCCGGCAAAGCAACCCAACAGCGATATGTAAAAGCATATCTGAAAGCATTCCCCTTAAGATTCAGATGAAAATCCAGCTGTAGAATTTTGCTGCTCTCGCAGTCGTAGTCGCATTCGCGATGACAGTCGCAGCAGCAACGGCAGTCGCAGTCACAGCCTCAGCCTCAGCCTGCCTCAGCCTCAGCCCTAGCCAGCCTCAGCCTCAGCCTGCTTCAGCCTCAGCCTCAGCCTGCTTCAGCCTCAGCCTCAGTCTGCCTTCAGCCTCGGCCTCAGCCTCAGCCTGCCTCAGCCTCAGCCTGCATCAGCCTCAGCCTCAGCATCAGCCTGCTTCAGCCTCAGCCTCAGCCTGCCTCAGCCTCAGCCTTCGTCTGCTTCAGCCTCAGCCTCAGTTTGCCTTCAGCCTCGGCCTCAGCCTCAGCCTGCCTCAGCCTCAGCCTGCCTCGGCCGCAGCATCAGCCTGCCTCAGCATTCAAAATGTAGCCTAGGAATGGAGTTTTGGGAATTAGACGAACACGAAGTGGCCTACAGTTGGCTCCGGGCATTCAAAATGTGGCCCGGGAATGGAGTTCTGGGAAATCGAAGAGCACGAAGTGGCCTACAGTTGGCTCCGGGCATCCCAAATGTGGCCCGGGAATGGAGTTCTGGGAAATCGAAGAGCACGAAGTGGCCTACAGTTGGCTCCGGGCATCCAATATGTGGCCCGGGAGAGGAGTTCTGGGAACTCGAAGAGCACGAAGTGGCCTACAGTTGGCTCCGGGCACTCAAAATGTAGCCCGGGAATGGAGTTCTGGGAGGTCGAAGAGCACGAAGTGTATGACTGTTGACGAAAAACGAGCCCGGCTCTGTTCCCGGTTCTCCAGAATGTGGCCCGGGAGTGGAGTTCTGGGAGGTCGAAGAGCACGAAGTGTGTGACTGTTGGCGAAAAACGATTCCCGGTTCTCCTCCCCGGCACCCGCCCAGCCCCCCTCTGAGGAGTCATGATGCTCTCTTTTGAGCCTATTAGAAACCTATCAGCAAACGCTGCTAGGTAAAAACATTGGTTTCCCCAGGGTTTGGGAAGGATGTGGGCCTCTTCGTGGCCGCCTGGGGGAACTCTTCGGCCACTTGGAGCCGTCTTGGAACGGTCTTGGGGCCTCTTGGCCTCTTGGAGCATCGTGGGAGCCATCTTGAGGCATGATGGGATAGCTTGAGCCATCTTGGAGGTCATCTCGGGCTCGCCCAGGCGCTCCTGGAGTCATCTGAATCAGTGCCCCCCAGGAGGCCCAAATTCGGACACAACCTTAGTCATATCAGTGAGTTTGGCATTCTCGTCGAGGCCTCTTGGAGCGTCTTGGGTGCCTCTGGGGGGCATCTTGGGGCCTCCTGGGGGTGTCTTGGGAGCCTCTTGGGGGCATCCTGGGGGCCTCTTGGGGGCCTCGTGGGGCCTCCTGGCCACCTCTTGGGGCACCCTTGGGAGCCTTGGGGGCAATCTTTGGGCCATCTTGGGTGAGATCGACCAGAGGAGGGGGGCTTCCCAAATAGCCCCCCCCCCAGGCTGCCCAAATGGGGCCCAAACTTCAGGAAACCAATGATGTCGGCTTCCTCGCCGAGGCTGTTTTGGACGCTACAACTACCCGCGGACCCCCCTGGAGGGGGTTAGGGGGAGGAGTCAAGACACTCTCTCCACACGCAAGCTGTCTAGCTCACTCCCACCCTCCCTCCCACCACATAAGTGGCATCCAGATCTCGGCATTGCCAGGGGTCGCCACTGGATGGACAGCCACTGGAAACCAAAGCGGACGCCGCGCCGCGGGCTCCACATGCGGTTGGTGTGCCATCCTTGTCAACAACGTGATCCCCCCCGTCCGCATGGTCCAGATGCTGATGTGGGGGGCGTCAGCATTGTTCTGGGCCTGCGCACAGCAAACATCATCATGCGGGCACCATCGCCGTCCCTGTCAAAATACATTACAAAGTGATCGCGGGTGGCCAGCACATTCCCCCGACGTTGTCGGAACGTGCGCTTTGCATATTTGTTGACATGGATGGTGGTCCTGCACAAAGTGGCTTCATTAAGGGTGCCCCGCCATCCCTGTCAAAAAATACAAAGTGCTCACATGGCGCCCGCGCGCTGTCCGGATTTTGCTGCAACGTGCACTTGTGGAGGGGGGGCCCTCCTGGTGTGCGCATGGAACCGGGTTGGCTGTCGGCCGGGTGCGGGAGGGGGGTTTATTTATATGGAAGAGTGATACACCCCTCCCCGAACGGGAAGAAAGGGGTTGGAAGAGGAAGCTCCCGACCACCTACGCCCTAAAGGGCTGGTGGGATTTTGGACGCGCGTTCATGGGCGGTGTGGGGTGATGGGGCGTTCCGTCGGAAGGTTCGTCGCCCCTTTGGCCGTTCGGGAAGCGTCTTGGTGCCTTCCTGGCTCATTTTGGATCCCCCCCCCTGGCGCACACTGTCCAGGGTCGTGCCGGGCCTGGGAGGGGGGGTTAGGGGGGGGAGGGGGGGGGGAGGGGGGGGGGGGGAGGGGGGAGGGGGGGGGGGAGGGGGGGGGGGAGGGGGGGGGGGGGGGGGGGGGGCGGGCGGTGTGGGGGGGGGGGGGGGGGGGGGGGGGGGGGGGGGGGGGGGGGTCGGGCGGGGGGAGGGGGGGGGGGGGGGGGGGGGGGTGGGGGGGGGGGGGGGGGGCGGGGGGGCGGTGGGGGGGGGGGGGAGGGGTGCGCGGGGGAGGCGTGGGGGGTGGGGGGGGGGGTGGGGTGGGGGCAAATCGCCGGTTTGCTGTCCCGGGGGGCCAATTTTGGGGAAGACGATCTCGCAGGGGTGGACCTAAACGGTGTTTTGGCGATTTTGTTGGCCGTTTTCGCTTCGATATCGTTTCGCGTGACAGGCGGATTTCAAGACAGAACGAAGGAAAGCGAACACAGAACGAAAACGATGAACACCGTTTAGGTTCAGACCTGCTATCGCAGGCGCCCATAGAGACCCGCGAGGGGTCGGCGGAGGCCCCGGCCCGGCGAGGGCCCCCCCAGAAGCCGCAGCTGGCCGAGCCCTTTTGCCGTGGTTGTCCTCACGGCGCCGGCATGGCGTGCGTGCCCGGGCCGTGAGGTCGTACAGCCAAGACGCTGAAAGAAGGAGCAGTTTGCCGGGGACGGAAAAGAGGGGGGTGATGACTGGGGGGGGGGGATATCATGGCGGGGGCCATGATGTTTCCCCAGATTTCATGGCGCCTCTTCTTATTTCATTACGTCCCTGCCCCCCCGCTGGGCCGCGCACGTGCCGCCGGTCATGATTTGCACCCCCCCCTCTTGGACACCCCCCTCTTTGCCGCTCCCGAGAAAGAAGGAGCAGTTTGGATTCGGAGGGGGCGCGATGTTCCTTACGACCTTCCGTGGTTGTTCCTCTAGTCCTTCTCGTGCACCCGGGCTCTTTCGAAGCCACGGAGGGGTTTCGTTCCTGATCTAGCGTTCCTTACTTCAGCAGCCCAAGTGCACCCCTCGCTTGCTCATGCACCCCACTCTTCACCAAGCGCGTTCCGCTACTCGCAAAGTGCCTCCTCGCAAACGAACGAAAGACAGATGGTCGATTCGATGAGATCTATCGTAGATCCCCCGCGGCGGATGCAGGCCATTTGCGAGTAGTTACTTTGCGAGTAGCTGAGCGCGCTCGTCTAACTCTTGGGCGCAGAGCCGACTCTAGCGGCCCAAGCAGGAGCGGGCAGTGCAGCAGCATCTCCCGGAGACTTTGTTGCGCTGCCCCTACAGCAGGGACGGAGAGGGCGATGGGTCGAAAAAGAATAAACGGCATAAACAAACTCTTGGCGCTCCGCGCGGATTTCTTATATCCGCGCTGGGCCCCCCGGCGGCGCCTCCAGCGCCCCCCTTCGCGCGTTCCGCGCGCCAAGGGGGGTGGTCCAGCGCAGATCCAATTGCATCCGCGCGGAGCGCCAAAAGTTTCTGTTTGTGCCCCTTCTTCTTATTTTTCTTATTGTTCTTCTTCTTCTTCTTTTTCTTCTTCTACTCATGCCCATGGCAGGGACGGAGGGGGCTGTGGGTGCGTGTTGTTGGAAGGGGGGTACCGCTCGAACGCGAGCGTCCTTCGGGGTCCGGCACAGCGCACCCATGCCCGTAGCCAGCCCCTCTCCCTCCGACCCCCCTGTGGATCTGGGTGTGTTGTTCGCTCGCAGCGCAGCCCAGTGCAGCTCTGTTCTGGCGCTGTTTCCCCCCCGTCGGCGCTCCCCCCGCCGCAGCCGGCAGCTCTGAGTGGCCCGGCTTCCTCTCTTCCTGTCGCGCCGGGGCTCCTCCGCCTCCCTCCGCCTATGGCAGTTGTCATGCATTGTTTCTGCGTCACCTGGCGCGCCGAGCCTCTTTTCACGATGTGCGCACCGTCCCACAATTCAAAGTGTTTCACAATTGTGCGTACACGTGTGGTTGTGTGCGTGTGTTTGTTTCTGTGTTTGTGTGCTCGTGTGCGCTGCTTCCTCGCGGTCGTTCGCGTTGCCTCGCGTTGCGCGTGCTGGTCCTCGCGTTGGACCTCCAGACTGGTTGCAGCTTCGGCATCGGTCGAACCCGAACCTCGCTCGCCGCGGGAGACCTATCCGTGTGCCTGCCTGTCTTCCTGTCCCTCTGTCTGCCTGTCCGCCCGGCGTGCGCGCGCCGTCCTCCTGCACGAGCTCCGAGCGAAGCGGCGCGCCACGACGCAGCCTCGACCTTCGGTCACCCCAGGCACCCTGGCGTCGTGACTTCTCTCGAAGCTCGGGGGCGGAAGAGAGGGGGGGGGGGTGACCAGGGGGGGGTCGATATCGTGGCGGGGGCCATGCTATTTCCCCAGATTTCATGGAGCGCCTCTTCTTATTTCATTGCGTCCCTGGCGCCCCCGCTGGGCCGCGCACGTGCCTCCGGTCATGAGTTGCACCCCCCCCTCTTGGACACCCCCTTCTTGGCCGCTCCCGATCAAAGCGTGCCCCCACAGAGTTATGACTTCGGCTGCGCGCAGGAGCGGCCCTCCGGCGTCGTGACCTCCGGTGCGGGACCTCCGGGGGCCCCCCCCGATGTCTTCGCGCCAAGGCGACGGCGGCCGCTTGCGTGAAGTCGGGCCTGTCCCCCATACAGGGGGATTTCCGACGAAAAATAACAAATACCAAAAAATACACCACAAATAATCTGGGGATATTTTTTGTCAGTATTGTTGACCTTTTGGGGGAATTTGTTGGGGTAGTTATTTTTTTCATTTTTCGTCGACAATCCCCCCGTGGGGGGACAGGCCCGACTGAACGCTTGTGCGCTTGGCTTTGGCCACCCTGCGCCCCCTGACAGCCAGGCCGGGCCCATGGAGGAGGAGCCACTCTCGTTGGGGAAGGGGCCGGGTTTCCTTCGCACCGTTTTGCAGCTTGTCTGAGGTTTTCTTTTATTTTTTTTTTTTTTTTTTTTATTTTTTTTTTTTTTTTTTTTTTTTTTTTTTATTTTTTTTTTTTTTTTTTTTTTTTTTGTTTTTTTTTTTTTTATTTTTTTTTTTTTTTTTTTTTGTGTTTTTTATTTTTTTATTTTTTTTTTTTTTGTTTTTTTTTACAGTGCCGTTTTTAATGCATGCTCCGCGTGCGGATCATGTATGAACAATGCAGGGTTTAGTATTAAAAAACAACGATGAGTTCATGCATACTTCTACTCATACATTAACCATGTATCAAAATCATATCGTTTAAAGCATCATATGTATTAAAACACTGCCCTGTAGGTCTTCGATGGGAAGTCAAAGTTTAACTGATGGAAAAAGAAGGGCTTCGTTCCTTATTCAGGGTTCCTTATGGCAGTGCTTCGACTGTGCTCCGCGCACACAGGTCACTCTTGCCTAGGATCACTCTCTGCGTGTAGCCGATGGGCACCTTCACCAGGACCGGCGTCCCGAGGCGCTGTTTGACAGTCTTGGGGACCGTCGAGGGCCCCCCGAGGTCGAAGATTGGCGAAGATCTCCCGTAGTGTTGTTTCGCAACGAGAGAGAGAGAGAGAGAGAGAAAAAAAAAAAAAAAAAAGAGAGAGAGAGTGGGGTTCCTCCCCCTCCACAGCTCAGGAGGGACAAATGTACGCAGACGCAAGTAATCGCCACATGTTAGACAAAATGAGAGATGATAGGGGAATACGACAATCCAGAAAGGATGTGACATGTTTCAAGTCCTCGAACATGTGTCTGTGTATGTGTCGCTCTCTGGGCCCCTTCCATAAAATGGTGTTCCTTCCCCTCTTCAGTTCCTGGCATTGGGGCGCTCCACTGATGGCGACTGCCTGGCCCTCTGAGGACGAGCTGCATCCTTCAATAAAATGGTGTTCCTTCCCCTCTTCAGTTCCTGGCATTGGGGCGCTCCGCTGATGGCGACTGCCTGGCCCTCTGAGGACGAGCTGCATCCTTCAATAAAATGGTGTTCCTTCCCCTCTTCGGTTCCTGGCATTGGGGCGCTCCGCTGATGGCGACTGCCTGGCCCTCCTGAGGACGAGCTGCGTGGGGAGGGCTCAGGCCCCCGCGGCGCCCCGAGGCCGAGCGCAAGCGCATCATCAACGCCGGCGGGTACGTCAAGGAGCGCCCACCCCTGAGGCCCAGGCATCGCTCGGGCGTGTGCACTTTTCCTTCGGCGAGGACCATCGAGGAGCATCTCTGATCATTTGGCGAAAAAGCACGCACGATACCGACAAAAGCACGGGGAATGGACGTCCGAGCGATGGCCAGGAGGCGGGCGATATCGTCTCACGGGCAACGCTGAGGGGGGGATAGTCTCTCAGGGTGGAGCGCATCGACCCGCCATCGCCCAGTCATCGCCGGCGGGGGCCCGACGATAGCCCCACCGCGCCCAGTATGCCGCGCGGGTCTCGCCATCGGGGGCCCATCGCCCGCGGTGCCAGGGGGGTGCCGCCGACATCTGGCGGGCGAGGCAGAGGTCGCTGTGGCGAGGGGCCTCGCCCCCCCCCGGGCGTCCGCCGTGGAGGAGGGGTAGGAGGAGGAGGAGGAGGAGGAGGAGGAGGACGAGGAGGAGGAGGAGGAGGACGCAGGCAGTCGGCGAGGAGGCGGCCCCGGTGGAACTCACCAGGGGCATGGGTCAGCACGTCTCCGTTACCTCGGGCTCGGGGATCACGTCCGACGGGTGCGTGGAGGACCAAGGGCCCAAGCCGAAGGTGCTGGAGGAGAACGTGCGTAGGAAGTCCCAGCAGGAGGTGAGAGGAGGCGGGGCCGCTGTCTCCCAGCAGCTGCGCTTGGCGGCCGCACCAATCCCCACAGCTGCAGATACGCGCGATATCTCCTCCGAGTGCGATCAGAGTACGGGGGCTTTTGAGCAGGAGTTAGCCCAGGGCCTGAAACACAAGGAGGAGACCAAGGAGGAGCTGCGTTCCATCGAGGAGCAGTTCGCGGAGATTAGAGGCCTTGTCTTTGACCTCAGGGCGGAGGTCATCCAGCTCGCCGCGGCCAGGTTGGACAACGCGGACGGCGGGCAGGTGACCGAGAATTCCAAGCTTGACCGAGGCGATCGGCAGCGGTGTGCTCCCCGCGGCGGTCCACGAGGCAGGGGGCGAGCTCGAGTGGCAAGTGGCGACAGACGGCAGGGAGTCGCGCATGAAGCTCCCGGAGGGCACCGTTGATGGCCATGTGGAGAGCACGAGCGTCCAGCAGACGGGTGGCCTTCCCCGAGGTGCCCCATGGGGGAGCCAGAGACAGCCGCCGCTTGCCAAGCAGAGCTTCCGGGGCCCAAGGAGGAGGACGGCCTCGAGGGGGCACTCGAGGAGGAGCAGGTCGTCTTCGTCCCCACGCCCATCGTGATGCCCAGGTCGCCCTACAGTATTAAAGTACTGCCCGGCTTCGGCTGTAAGCTGCTGCTGCAGAGAAGGCTGCACAGGGGAAATCCACATCCCGTGCCATGAATAAAGTAGCGACCAGTAGTCGGTTCGACTTGGCTGGGGGGGAGGGAACTTGAGGTGAAGGAGCCCTTGGCAGCGTCTGCAGCTTGAAGTAGCCGCCAGACCCGCCGCTATCGGTGGCCCGAGATGATGCTGTGGCGATGTGTATTCCGGAGCTGGCGCATATTTCGCCACGGGCCTCGCAACCCTTGAATAGCGAAGTGGCAGGGTCCGTGCGGGCATATGTTGGGGCCCCTCTAGCTCGTTTAGCTGTTGAGAGTCTCTGGTGTCCCTTCTCCCCTTCCCCTGAAGCAGAATGCATGAGAAGGCCTGTTCTGTCACAGCATGCCGAGTTCTCGAGGGGTGAGCTGGGGATAGGAAAGTGGCAGGTGGAGGTTTGCGACGTCACCCCACTGTCTGCGCGGCGGGCGGAGGTGCCAGCTCCGCTCGGCATTGGCGCGGCAACGTGGCCAACACAAGTGTCATTTGTAGCGGACGACGCCCCTCTCTTAATGGCGAAGGTGCTGGGCCAGGGAGGGGCAAAGGCCTCTCTCTGGAGGCCGCCGCTGCCGCGGGACCCGCCCTCGAGGAGGCTGCTGCGGGCATCTGCGCGGCCCTTTTCCGCGCAGGCGGCTCTGTTGGCAGCCAGCCCGCAGAGCACGAATCTCCAGAAGGCTCGCCTTCGCAGCAAGGCCCTCCAGCTGGCAGTCCGCACCCTGAAGTTAGGCTCGTCTTCGCATCAGGGCCCTCCAGCTGGCAGTCCGCACCCTGAAGGGACGCGAGCGCCACTTCAGGGAGAGTGCTGCCTATGCTTGGAAGGAGATGCGGTGGGCTCATGGCCATGCCCAGAGGCTGAAGGAAAGGAGGGCCAAGGGTCAGCCCTCCTCCTCCGCCTCGGACTTGGGCCGAGCTGCTGCCGGGTGTTCTGTTTGTCTTTCGGGCTTCTGGGAGGTCACACTGCGGGGGGGGGAGGCTGACAGAAGGGATAAGGGCAGCGCTAGCGACCTCCCACGGGCTCATGATCCGCTCTTCGCCCCCGCCACCCCCTCCAGGCAGGAGTTGTCCGCCTGGGGGCACTGTCAATCATGATAGTAAGGATGGACCACCTTCCTAGGGGTACCCTTGCATCCTTGCCCCCTCGGCCCATCCTTCGCCGCTTTCGCTGGCCGCGCCCCGCTCGACGAGCTTCGACATGGGCGTCCAAGGCCCTTGCATCCTGATCGCGCATCCTTGCTACACTGGTTGACTGTCATGACGAACGTTTATCACGCACCCATACCCTGAAGGGGGTCGGAGCGAGCTATGGGTGCGTGTTGTCGGATGGGGGTCCCAGCTCGAACGGGAGCCTTCCCAGGGGTCCGACGACCCGCACCCATACCCATAGCCAGTCCTTCTCCCTCCGACCTCCCTACGGGTATGGGTGTGTGTCGTTGGTTCATCATGTCAGGGGTCTGGGGCGTGGCGTTCGCCGCCTTCGCTGGCCGCGCCCCGCTCGACAAGCTTCGACATGGGCGTCCAAGGCCCTTGCATCCTTATCACGCACCCTTGCTAGTCCAGATTTCGTAATACAGGGAGGGGGGTCTCGTTTCGGGGGGGGGTCTCTTCCAGGCTATCTTGGAGGGCCTGGGGGGTCCGTGGACGATATGTTGGAGGGTTCTCCCACGGGGGAGGTCTGAAATGGCTTGTCTTGGAGGGTCCAGACCCCCTCCTTTTATTACGAAATCTGGAGTACACCGGTTCTCTGTCAGGGGTCCGGGGCGTGGCGTTCCCTTGTGGCGCGCCCTTCCTCCTGCGGGGCGGCCCGCGGCATCTCCCCCTTCCCCGCTCCCCGCTGGCCGTGCGGGCCGCCCCTGGGGGGAGCGACCTGCTGCACGATTGGCCCTGGTGACGGGAAGGAGGAGGAGGAGGAGGAGGGGGAGGAGGAGGAGAAGGAGGAGGAGGAGGAGGAGGAGGAGGAGGAGGAGGAGGATGAGGAGGAGGAGGAGGAGGAGGAGGCGGGAGGAGGAGGAGGCGGGAGGAGGCCGGAGGGGGGACCCCTTGCAGTCGACGTCATCGAGAGACCGGGCGGAGGAGGAGGGAGGCATCGCCTCGGCCCAACCCCGAGGCCCCTCCCCTGCCAAAAGGGGGCCCCCTCCTCGCGACACGGGGCACGGCGCCGGGCGGCCCTCGCCCTCTCCTCCCCCCGCCTCTATTTGACCACTGGAGTTGAGCCTTCAAGCAGTGGCGAATCGTCCTGGCCCGCCTATAGCCCTACCAAACAATGTTCTATGAACCTTTTGTGGTTTCCGCGAACTGCGCTTAGAACAGTTCTGGCGGAGTCTGTTTTGTTTGAACACCTTGGGCTTATGTTCTAAGAGCAGTGTTTGAGAACTATGGGAATGCCTGGAGGTCGGTCCCGGCTAAACTTTGACCACAGGCTGTGAGCCTGGGGTCCGACCGCGGCCACGGGCTGAGGCATCGGGGTCGACGAATCGCCCCCCCCTCTCTCGGCCTTGCTTCTTCTGCGGTCGGGCGGCCCCTTTGCCCTCGGGTTTTCGTGACCTCTTGTCCTTTTCCGCTCGCGGAGCGGACATGCGGACCGACGCGCGCAGCCGCGCGCTCGAGGAGGAGGCGGAAGGGGAGGGCGGAGGAGGAGGAGGAGGAGGAGGAGGAGGAGGAGGAGGAGGAGGAGGAGGGGGGGAGTAGGAGGAGGAGGAGGAGGAGGAGAGGGAGGAGGAGGAGGAGGAGGAGGAGGAGGGGGGAGGAGCGAGGGCGGGGAGGGAGGAGGCGGAGGAGGAGGAGGAGGGCGGAAAAGGAGTGGAGGAGGAGGTAGGAGGATGAGGCGGAGGAGGCGGAGGTGGGAGAGGGAGGGCGGTGGAGGAGGAGGAGGAGGAGGAGGAGGAGGAGGAGGAAGGGAGGAGGAGGGAGGAGGAGGAGGAGGAGGTCGGGGAGGATGAGGAGGAGAGGGAGTGAGGGGAGGGAGGAGGGGAGGTAGGAAGGAATGGAGGAGGAGGAGGAGGAGGAGGAGGAGGAGGAGAAGGGCGGAGGAGGAGGAATAGGAGGAGGTGGAGGAGGAGGAGGAGGAGGAGGAGGAGGAGGGCGGAGGAGGCGGACGATCCTGGTCCATGGTTGAAGCACCAGGCTGCGTAAACAGAGTCTCTCCGAGGCCTGCGCGGATCTCTTGGATCGGCGCATCGGCCCCCCCCCCCCCGTGGCGGGGCACTGCCAGCGCCGCCCTTCCGCGCGCCAGGAAGGGGGGCCCCAGCGCCGATTCCAAAACATCCGCGCGGACCTCCGACACATCACTCTTGCGCTGTATTCGTCTTGCTCCTCTGGATCGGTCGAACGACTGGGCAGCGAGGGGGAGGAGGCCCCTGGAGGAGTGTCGCAGTCGAAGGAGAAACGCCATCAACACAAACTGTCGGCGCTCCGCGCGCATTTGTGGGATCCGCGCGGGGCCCCCTCGGCAACGCTTCTGGCGCCGCCTCTGGCGCGCTCCGCGCGCCAGGGAGGGGGTCCAGCGCAGATCCAAAAAAATCCGCGCGGAGCGCCAAAAGTTTATGTTTCTGCATTTTGTTCTCCTTCGATCTAAACCTGTCGAACGACCGGCAGCGAGCGGGAGGAGGTCCTGGCAGCGAAGGGGAGAATGTCCTGGAGGGGCGGAGGTCCTGGAGGAGGTCCCCCCCAGACAAACCTGGCGGGCTGTAAGAAAACAAAAGAAACTCTGGGATGCACCTCTAAGGTCTTTTTGCACGCACCCCCATGGAGGATGGACGCTCGCTCCCCCTCGTGCCCCTCGGAGCCTCTTGGGATACGCCCTGTTGAGCGGTCGGGCCCTCTGCAGGAGGAGGAGGAGGAGGAGGAGGAGGAGGAGGAGGAGGAGGAGGAGGAGGAGGGCGGAGGAGGAGGAGGAGGAGGAGGAGGAGGAGGAGGTGGGGGAGGAGGAGAGAGGGGGAGGGGGGGAGGAGGAGGAGGGAGGAGGAGGAGGAGGGAGGAGGAGGAGGAGGAGGAGGAGGAGGAGGAGGAGGAGAGAGGGAGGAGGAGGAGAGGGAGGAGGAGGAGGAGGAGGAGGAGGTGGAGGGGAGGAGGAGGAGGGGATGGAGGAGGAGGATGGGAGGAGGAGGAGGAGGAGGAGAGGAGTGGGAGGGGGAGGGGGAGGGGAGGAGGAGGAGGAGGAGGAGGAGGAGGATGAGGAGGAGGAGGAGGAGGAGGAGGAGGAGGAGGAGCCCCGAGGAGATCCACACCGGGGAGGGCCACCAGAGGAGGGTGGTCCACCGCATCAACGGGAACCTCAACCTCTCCCGCTCCGTCGGCGACCTGGCGCCGCGCCGCCCGTGCCGCCCCGCCAGCCTCCGCCCCAGCAAAGAGAGAGAGAGAGAGAGAGAGAACCAGGAGGAGGAGGAGGAGGAGGAGGAGGCGGAGGCGGAGGAGGATGAAGGAGGAGGAGGATGAGGAAGGGAGGAGGGAAGGTGCAGGAGGAGGAGGAGGAGGAGGTGGAGGAGGAGGCGGAGGAGGAGAAGGAGGAGGAGGAGGGGAGGAGGAAGAGGAGGAGGAGAAGGAGGAGGAGGAGGAGGACCAGTGTAAACCCAAGAGTCATCAACGATGTCGGAATAAACACTCCCTTCAAGCTTCCTCTTCACAGGCTCCTACAATGGTCCGCTTCAGGGAACTGCTTCGTTTGAAGAGAATCGTTTCAATACCCTGAAGCATGCCTAGGCATTGTTCACGGGATTCCAACGCCATGGGTCATCTTGATTGTTGCGTCGTGACTATTGTGAATCGTACCGCGACACCATTATTGGGATTTCAACACCGCGAATCAACGTAATTGCTGCACCCTCATAACCCTGAATCCTTCAAACAAACATGTTTAGTACGCTGATCATGGGACTCCGCTTAAATGTTGCCAAACGTTTAAAACGAGTGTGCGCGGCGCTAATGCGAGAGCCACATTTTGATCAGGAACCGCCCTCAATTCGTGAGACCCTTGCAAATGTTAACAACGAATGTGCGCGGCGCTAATGCGAGAGCCATATTTTGAAAACGGGCCGCCCTCAATCCGTGAAACTCTTTGCAAATGTTTAAAACGAATGTGCGCGGTGCTAAGGCGAAAGCCACATTTTGAAAACGGGCCGTCCTTCATCTGTGAGACTGTATTTGTTTTTGTAGCCAATGTTTATTAAAGCTTTTTGTTTTCTTTTTTAATTCTTTTTTTTTTTTGTTTCTTGTTTTTTTTTTTTTTTTCCTTTTTTTATTTTTTTTTTGTTTCTTCGCATTTTTATTTTATATTTATTTTTTTTTTTTTTTGTCTTTATTTGTGTTTTCTTTTTTTTCTTTTTTTTTTTTTCTTTTTTTTTTTTCTTTTTTTTTTATTCTTTTTTTTTTGATTTTTTTTTTTATTTCCTTTATTATTTTTATAGGTTTTTTTCTTTTTTTTTTTTTATATTTTTATTTTTTTTTATATTATTTTTTTCCTTTTTTTTTTTTCTTCTTTTTTTTTTTCAGGGTCCTGAATGGTGAGGAAGAGGAAGTCTTGTTCGGTCCGCCCGGTCCGCCCTAAAAACTGGCTTCGGGGTGCGACAGGGAGAAGTTGTTCACAGGCGTGCTTCGTGTTGTACCATCGCAGGCGTTTGCCTGCACGTACGTGGCCTCTTGGGGCCTCTTGGGGGCCTCTTAGGGCATATTTTTGGGCCTCTTTGGGGCCTCGTGCGGCCTCCAGGGGGCCTCCGGGGCTCTATTGGGGGCCTCTTGGTGCCTCTTGGGGGGCCCTTGGGGCGGAAGGCTCGAATTGGTGGTTCGTGTTCCCCCTCTTGGGCCCCTCTTAGGGCCTTCTTGGGACCTCTTGGGCGATCTTGGGCGCCTCTGGGGCTGTTTGGGGGCCCTCTTGGGCCGTTCTTGAGCCCTCTTTGGGGCCTCTTGGGCCGTCAGGGGCGATCTCGAAGGTCTCTTGGGCCGTATTGGAGCGCCAGTGACGGGGTACTTTCAATCCGGGGATCCCCAGGGACAGCCCCGCGCGAACTAGAAAATTTCTAAACTAGTTTCCGGAGATCTTAGCACGCCTCTGGCCCGTTGAGCCGACGAATGGTAAAGGAAAAGCAATTGAGAAGGAGGAGGGGGATGATGATGATGATGATGATGATGATGATGATGATGAGGAGGAGGAGGAGGAGGAGGAGGAGGAGGAGGAGGCTCGGAGGAGGACGGTGAGGAGGAGGAGGAGGAGGAGGAGGAGGAGGAGGAGGAGGAGGAGTAGGAGCAGGAGGGCGGAGGAGGAGGAGGAGGGGTGGCGACCTGAGGGGGCATATCCTGGCGGGGGCCACGGTGTCTCCCCAGACTTTGTTGGCCCCTCTGTTCATGGCACTGCTCTAGGCCTCCCAGATGGGGTCAGAGTAGAGGGGGTCGGAGGATCACACCGCATCGCCGATGCATCGGCGATGCGGCCCAGTGTAGAGCCCGATTCTCTCCACGCTGGCGTCGCCAATGCATCGCCGACGTCGCGGAGGCATCGCCGATGCATCGGCGATGCGCCGCGATCCTCCGACCCCATCTACTCCGACCCCATCTAGGCTCTCGGAGGCCTCTGAAGTGCCTCTGTGGAGAGCCTCATGCAGTGACGTGCGTGGAACAAAGGACTGGTCTATAAAGAGTTTGCCGTGACAGCCTGCAGCCTCTCTGCTCTCAGAGATGGGACGTGCCCTTTCTGCGGGGGCGCTAGAAAGTTCCTGGCGCCCACCTTCTCCATGCACCTGGTGTGTTTTCGACAGGGACGCTCAAGTGAGCCCTTCCAGTTCCACGCCGAAGAATACGCACCCCTCGGCCTCCTCCGCCAACTCGTCGATGGAGCTTTCCTGCTCGAGAAATGTCAGGAGGGAACACAACACACAGACACAATTAATCGTCGATCCCCCAGAAAATATGGGAAAATATGGGAAGTGGGGGGGGAAGACAGAAACCCAGAAAGTATAGGAACACATAGGGAATATGTTTTATTTTTGTGTATTTATTTGTGTGTCCTGGGGCCCCTTCAAACGTGGATCACAGGGTCCCTCACTTCCATCCCTTCTTCAAGCCCTCCTTGTTGCTGCAGCTTGTCGTCGACCACGATGCCGCCGAGTTCGCTGCCTTCCTGAACCCTCGCTCCTCCTTCGTCTGGCAACGGCGGGCCTTCCTCTTGTACTCGATCTCCTCGCATGTCCACTGACGCCAGACGTGGTCCCCCTTCGGCGGCGTTTCGAGTGGAAGTTTCTGGGATGTTCGTCTCGGCGGGATGGTCGGAGCCTCTGATGTCTCCGTCTGGCAGCCAGGCGCCCTCGGATCCGCAGGCCTCCTCCACTCCACGACCATGGCGAGGACACCCGCGTAGCCAGCCTTGCACTGCACCCCGAGGAATTTCCTCTGGCCACGCCACCACTCGGTGGTTCAAAGGTGGGGTCCTGAGGGAAGGGGTGATGAGGAGGATAGGAAGGGATCCAAGGATGGATTTGCGCTGCTTGAGTCACCTCGTTCTTAGGGCCTCATCCCTCAGGGCCCCATCTTTGAACCACCGAACCACGCCCATCAAGCAGTTGCAAAGCGTCCTGGCTCGCCTATAGGTGTGGTCTGCACGAATTGTTCTCAGAACATGTCTGGCTGAGACTGCTTCGTTATTAGAACATTGTTTTCGTTATTCGAACATTGTTTTTGTGATTCGTTTTTTGTTGTTCTGTGAACATGTCGTGGTAAGCCTATAGGAATGCCAGGACGGTCGGTCCCTGCTCAAGCCCAGCATTCCCATCCAGCCCGTAGCTCACCTCGTCCTTGGAGCTGTTCTCCGAGCCCGAGGCGCCGCAACCGCCGTAGGTATTCGGCTGGCGGCTCGCCCGACGGCAGCGCTGCTGACGCGGCCTAGGCCGGCCCCGCCTGCTCGGCAATCTACCCTCTCAGCGAACAGTTTCAGCTCGGCGTGCGTTGCCACGCAGACTACGTCCCTCACCTTGTCCTTGATTGATGGGCCTGTTTTCCACCACCACCACAATATGTTGGAGGGGGGAAGGAGGTGGAGGATGAGGAGGAAGAAGAAGAAGAAGAGGAGGAGCAGGAGGAGGAGGAGGAGGAGGAAGAGGACCCCTATCGCCCTCCTACTTATGGTGGTGGTGGTGGAAAACAAGCCCACCAATGATCACACAGACTGCATCCCTCACCTTGTCCGTGATTACTCGCGTTAGGCCCGACGATTCGCCAGGCTGAGAGTGTGCGCCCTCGGCGCGGCATGGCGCTCCTGTAGCCGCCTGGCCAGGGGCCGCGAGATGGCAGTCCCTGCGTGCCGCTTCGAAATCCGCAGGGGGCAAGCGCTGGCTCCCCTGAG